GTCATTTAATTAACTTACAGGAAACTTTCCGACTTTAATAGCAGCTTCTTGGATAATTAAACCGCAATTAAAATATATGTTGATTTCCATTTATTTTAAAGGTTGAAGGCAATTCCGATTTTTTCAAAAAAATAAAAAATGATATACATTTTATTTGGGCGTTGCTTCTACTTACAAAACTAAATGAAAGTGATTCTTTAGTATATCCACCCTCTTCATTCCGGCTATAGAAGCCGTAATAGATCGACAACTTATAGCTGCTAAAATCCAAGTAGTTTCAGCATAAATTATTTCTCATTATTTGATTAAAGTATGTAATAATATTTGTAGTTTGAATCATTATTATCACGAGCTTGTAACACTTTACATTAGTGGTGTGACCATCACACCTTTGTTTGTGATCAGAGATCGATAATCATTATGTTGTGAAGTAACCTCTATGTCTATGGAATAGAAAGATCATTTCAATATTCACTGCAATTTTGTTGCATTTTGATTGAATTTTAATTTTGTCAACTGCGTTTCTATTTTTTCTATAATAAATTTAATTAAATAGACTGATTATATTATAGTATATAGGAGTGTAACTATATTTCCTAGATTACAGGTGACTGTGGAATAACTTTAAAACAAACGCAAATTAGTATTAGTACTTTTTGATAAGTCTAAGAGAATATGATGGCTGATCGAAAAGTATGGAAGTAATAAATAATAAAGTAATAAATATTGTGCCGACCCCAAATAAATTATTGGGAAAAGGCGAACAGATAATGAGTTTAAAGAGTGGTATAAAAGAATCGACTATAATATAAGTCAATAGTTTTTTCAAACATACACGTATCATAAGTAACAATTGTACAAACTTTCGCATTTAGAATACAAATTAATAACTAGCTGATTTCACGCGACTTTGCTAGCATGATTGGATCAGTATTTCCGACGAAACGAACAAACAAACAAAGTTAGATACTTTAGCTCTCCGAATGAAAGAAAGAACAACATTAAAAATTCGTCGTCAAATTCATTAAAGTCAATTAAATTCTTAATCACGTGCATATTACGTAAGTTGCCCGCAAAAGGGGACGACGTTGTGGCGGCCAGGAAGTCTGTTACCGTTCTTAAATCCTTTTAGGTTAAGCGGATATACAGCTGATAGGATTGTCTGTCTGCCTGCCTACTGTCTGCGAATACCGTAGTTCGTTTCTTGAGTAAAGCGCTACAGAGTACGAACAGGCGTAAAAGAAATATGTGAATTGTAGACTTTAGTCCTCCGAATTTTAGTTTCTAAATCGTAATAAAAAATACGAGAGCTAAAGTAACGACACTACATAGCTGGTAATTATCGATATTTTTACAATATTATAAAAAAGAACAGTTTCTAACTTTGTAGGCGGCTAATCTTCGGAAATAATGGTCCTATTATATAAATTCTTTCATCTACGAGAAGGTATCTCATGGTGCTATAGAATAAAAACGAGCAAAATAGCGGAAAAACAGCTAATAAAAACAAATTAGAAGTAATATAAAATGGACAATTCCTTAAACTATTATAAATGGTATTGAACGACTGTCGCTACTCTAAAATTAATCCATTGTACTATTTACATTTGTTATAGGGTTCAAAAATAAAAGGGGAACTCAACACATGCACGTCTGTCCGTTTCATAGTTAATTTATTCCAAAACTATTAGACCGAGCGAGTTGAAATTGTAGACTAGCTGTTCCCGCGATTTTGTATGCTTTAATTGTAGTCTATAGCAATCGCGTATGATGTAGCTTCTCGTTGATAAAAGAACAAACACAATTACATACTTAACCCTCTTTATAAGTAATATTAGTATAGATTATGCAAGTCTGGTGATCCAGATAAACAAATAAGGGCAGGACATAATACGCAAATTATGTCTAATAAAAGAGCTCGTTCTAAATATCTTGATTTGAAGGCAAATTCGTTGTTTGATCTTAAACGTGTTTTGTTCGAATCTAAAAAGAGAATGAACGTTGTTTGGCTGAGTAGGCTGCCAGTTCTGCGGCAACCAGACTCCAGACACAACAAATTGTACAATTCCTACAATAGTTTGAATCACAACTGTCTCTATTATAATGGACATGAAATGTGATTATTTATTATATATTTCTTTTATACAATTTTCTGTATTTTCTGTAGGTTTTTTGTAGACGTATGCTTTATATTTGAAGTAACGACGGAATGTCAATGTAAATAAGATTCATTATGTGTATCTTGCCTGCGTGGTCCTGTATATTATACATAAACCTTCCCTCTGTAACACCCTATTATTAAAAAAACCACATCGAAATCCGTTGTGTATTTTTAAGATCTAAGCATACACATGGAGAGACGGGAAGCGATTTTGTTTTTACTATGTATTGATGCTTACAAAAAGATAATATCTCGAATGATCGCAGATTTTGCGACGTCCTGGACAGGTTTTTAAATTTTTCTTTTCGGAAAATAAATCACTAAGTCAATTCAGCAATTCATTTCAGCAAATGTTTTAGAAGTATATAATTAACTTAAAAAGATAATTAAAAACTTAGCTCAAAGGATTAGATCCAATTCAAATAAAGACAATAAAATTATTTACTATTTGTATTTCTGTGATTCAAATAGTATTGCTTCTATAGCATCATAATATTTATCAATGTTTTTAATCCTTTTACGTTTTTCATATTCACCCATGAAGCCTTTTAAAATTCAATGGAATTGTCGGGTTTCGGAGATTATTTGTAACGTATGCGCGTTTACGTAAATTTGATTACATATTTTTGTTGATGAAGTCCTTCTATGTAAAATTAATTGCGCGTTTTTATCCATCAAAATTATTATGAATAAACAAAAATGTTTTTGTATAGTCTATGTCACGCACGTTTGATGTAGCTTCCCGTAGGTACGCAGGGCGGTAGGTAGGCAGGTAGGTAAGATTTTCAAAATAGGTTCAATAGTTTCGGAGCTTATTCAATTAATTGAAATTCCATTCTTATAAAAAACAATCAAATCTTTCCTCTTAATTGTATTAGTAGACATCATAGCTTTATTCCTATGCTAAGTATATATTATAATATAATAAAGTAGGAAGAAAATGAGCTGCTTCTTTATCACCAGCATCAACATCATCACCAGAGCTATTAAAGTCCCTACTGCTGGGGTACAGGCCTTCTCTACGTATGGAATTAAATCAAATAAGGAGAATGGCCAATGACCCATAATGTGGGGCCAGTGCGGATATATAAGTGCTAAAGACTGCATATGCAGCCATGACAACAGCTAAACGTGGCTTCTGCAATAAGGAGTTGAGATACTAAAATTTTGGTCTCCCTTCCTATTACCGGCCTTTGCGTAAGTTGCTTCACACTAAACAATGCGCTATATAGCTCCTTTTAGTAATTTTTTACAATTTCATAACTATTCAAACTAAAATATCGTCGCGCTTAATTTTATCGCTGTTGTTTTCAGTTGCTTGCTATTATTTATTTTTCCTAAAGAGTATATTATTTTAAAGAAATATAATGGACGTGCGTTCAGACGCCTTTTGATGTCGTTTCATATTTGATGAGCATTGTTAAAAGAGACAAGTGACAACAGTGTTATAGTAACAGTTTGTGTAAAGGGAGTGTCTCTAGCAGACACTTTGGGTCGTTTAAGTCGATGGAAAACTAAATATATTTGATGACAAGAGTTTTCTAGGTTGTTATTAATATAATGGTCACAATTCTGTTACACAAACTAGTCCTGACAAACTTCGTTTATAATTCTGAAAATTAAGATAAAGGAAGTAAACGGGATATTTAAAATTAAAGATACTTTAAACTCCTTGTTTACATGAGACTATGGAAATTTTTAAGGTATACTATAGACGTTGTTGCAATAGAATTGGCTTTAGTGTCAATCCTTACATTTACTTTTGAATTGTGAAAAACTCATAAACACTAGATTTCGTCTAACTTTTTAATGTATATTTAAGACGAGCTGTTTTCCTGTGACTTCGCCCGCATAATTTATAACCTATGTCACCCGCGTACGATCCAACTCCGGCAGATGAAAGAATTTTCAAAATTGCTCCAGTAGTTTCGGAGCCTATTTAATCATCTATCTTTTTTTATCATATTAGTAAAGATTACATTCTAAAACAAATCGATTTACTGAAGTCGTTTAAAAACTTTTTCTTAAAATAAGTAAATAGAACAAAATAACTGATAGTTATTTTAATCATTGTTAATAACAATAAAATGATTCGATAAGTAGAACTATATAATGTTGATAAATCAATAAATATAGTAAATTAATAACCCAAAATATACAGATTCTTGTTGTAGCAACTCCTTCAACAAAATGAAGCCATAAAACTAAGGGTCTAGACAAGATTAGTGACTAATAGGGTTTTTATAAAAAGTCTTACTAGCACCGTCGTCCGTTAATCTACTTCTTATTATATAAAGTTTATTTTGTATTTAAATATGAAGCCTGTAACTCTGGAATTGTCAAAATAATGCAGTACACTGCATATTCGGTTTACAATTGCTGTTACTTGACTTTGCCTGGCTGATCATTTTATGAGTGACCAAAAATATATTATTATAAATTATCATAACTAATGGCTCTAACACCTAGTGTTTTTATAGATGAGAAAGTCTTCCACAAGGACATTTATAGGTCTATGATAACTTAATAGAAATATACATGAAAAGTTCGCACGTTCACGAGATGGGTCTGATGATCTTTTTCTCGGAGAGACAACTATTGATCTACACTTTCTATTGGGTTTCATCACCTGCTAGACATCTTTGTTTTTCAGCGTTCATCAATAAATGAATTTGGTTGTGTAGAATTATCGTGCTTTGGCCATTAAAAGATGAATATCATGAATATTGTAATGATAGAAGTATGTGTTTCAGAAACTCGTCCCATTGACGTTCAGTATAAGTACATACTACGCCCTTCTAATAATTGTTGAATAGTGGCATATCTGTTATTGTTACAGTATTCTATTCGCGGACATCGTGGGCTTCACGGTGCTCGCATCGCAGTGCAGCGCGCAGGAGTTGGTGCGGCTACTCAACGAATTATTCGGCCGGTTCGATCAGCTCGCAAATGTGAGTAATCAAAGTTAGTCTAATATTCATTTAATTATCGAATCAAATATAAAATAATTATATCATTAATTATTAGATATACATATTTTCAAACGCGATAATTTAAAATTATCGTGGTGTATTAGTTTTGGTCCAAATTGATAGAAATCAGAGGAGAGGTGGCATATTCTGCTGCAACTAGCATTCATGAAGAATGACCCGTTCTTGCATAGATCCTAACCAAACCTAACATATTAATTGCGTGGCGAGATTTATCTAGCAGAACCACGGAAGTGAGAAAAACAACAGGGAAGGCATGGAACGGTTGGCAAAGGAGTTAATTAAAGGATAAGAAAGAAAGTTTATCTGACAGAATTTGTCTGCTGGTTAACGGAAATAATGTCGGAACTAATATACAACAAGAAAGTGGAAGGATACAGAAGGCGGAAAGGCTTTTCTTGATCAGAATGATGGTGTGTTATCGGAATCTGATCTGTTACTTGAGAGGTTACCGTAATAATCAACAAGTATGTAGGAAAATAGAAATTAACTAAGAAGCGAAAGACATGGGCAAAGACCGTGCTTGTGGCGCTCGGTGGTTGATGGTGGAGATATAGGTAGAACTATTGTGAGGAATGAATTTAGAGTAATATTTTTATGTGAGTAGGTATGCTGACATGTGAGAGAATGTTTAATGGAAAATAAGAGTGAAGATGCTTGCAAAATTTTCTTATCTTATTTATATGTATTTGTTACAGGTATTTTATTTAAATACCAAACCCTTTAAAATGAAAAACATGACTTTCTTTTCAAATTCACATAGTCGGTTCAAAAACAATAGCCGAATTGCTCCTAACATTTTGCTACGGGTCGAGTCGCACTTGAATTCTCTCACACCCTAGTATATTGTGAGGGGCTTAGAGACTACTGCAGTGCACCTAAAATACATGGCCGTTGAGCAAACACAATGCGGTATGGTTATGTGTTAAGCGATTTGATGTCACACATTCCCGCATAAAGAATCACAGAACTTTCAACAGTTTTGCCTGCCATATTCATTTGTGTTAGAATTCCAAAGATGATTTTTTCAATGAAATCTGTTATTTAGTAAATCAGGCTATGAATTTCTGTTTTCTAAAGGTCTTCGGGGGCTCGTCGTTTTCTTTTACCGCAAAACAAATAAAACTAAAAACTGACATTAAAAGGAATTATTACCCACACATAATGAGAAAATAATATTGGGAATGTGTCAGCAGTTTTTGTATTGTAAAATTTTTTGAAACGACTGTTATTTAAAATCAAAAAAATTTGTGATAGGTTACCAGGTCTCTGTATTATAAAGACAATCTTACGATCGCTCTAGTGTTTGGCTAGATTTTGATGAAGACATTAAAATCTAACGAAACACTCAATGAAGATACAAACTTCTACAGTTATAATTGCGGCTTTGGAATGTTGATTTAATTCTCGAGGTTTCGCCAAACAGTGAGTGGGTAGGGCGACGTAGCTCAATGTGACATCTTTTATATTAACTAGTACAATTACGTGTATCTGTACTAAATACACACGCCACATTATTGTTACTAAAATTCTGCAATTAGTTTTAAACTTTAAATATCTTTCAATTGGTTTTGTACCAAAAAATAAAGTTCAAATAAGTTCTAATGAAAAATCAGAAACTAAATAGTCAACGCCCAGAACGTAGTGTTTAAATTCTCTTAGACGCCCCTGCCTTAAAAATGAAACTATATTGACTTTTACGTTAATGTTTATTGTAATGGGTCTGTTTTTTCATCATTTTGAATGTGGGAAAATAAGGGTAGTAATATAATGTCGGTAAAAACATAATGTGGTTAGAAAGCGAATAGAATAGCGGAAAAGTAAAGAAAACAATTTTGTAAAATAGCGAATAATTATTACAGTTACGATAATATACGCGATAATCTTTGAAATGACTAGTCGAATCTTAAAAATCGATAGCTCAATTGTTGAAGGTCATTAAAATCAAAGCTGAAACTCCAGCTAAACAAGTGTTCATGAATATTCTAAGACTAGTTACACAAGCTGTATGTTGGTCATAAATATACTTGGATAAGTGGCTATATTCTTGAATGGATGGAGTATATTTAATTTCAATTAGTCCTTACTGTTGTTAACGCCACAAAAGGTCGGTCGTGACATTGATAGTCAAACGACACGAGATGCTCATCGTGACTAATGACCAAAGCATCAAGCGTGAAAATTTAAGGGTCCCTCCTCGGTGCTACAATATGATATAATTAATCATAATACGTGTGACGAACCTCGCCCTTCAAGTCCCTGAAATTGACTAGGGTGTTCTTCCGTTTGGAAAATGGAATCTTTAATACAAAAATCAGTAATAATTATAAGTAGAGTTTTATAAGTAATGGACAGATTTTCATGCGGTTTTCAACAATAGATAGAGTTTTAGTGTATAGTAATTTTAGGTTTTGTACAAACTGACGATATTACAACGATATTAGTTCAATATGTCGGAAAAAATAAAGTCGATCGGGAGCTTTCCTCGAAAACGCTGCCAAAAACTTATTAAAAAAATGTATGGTGGAATTTTACCTGTTTAATAGATCTATCTTCCAAAGATAACCCGTAATAACCATTTTTTTGCGTTTACTTAAAACAGTAAAATTATGGGTTATTTACTAACCTATTTTTAACGTTACAGTATTAATCTTAATTCATATAAATAAGTTAGATACGTTATCTGTGTAATGTAGACCAAATTGCTTTTTACATTATATATATATAAAAAAAAACGAAAAATAAAAATCGGGCGACAAATTTAATATTGTTGAAGCGTAGCGAATATGTCATTCTCAATCATCGCAAAGAGCATCACTGTTATCACTATTACTACATATAGGTATGTAGGTCTATACCGTAATATTATAAACTAGCTGCTCCCCGTGGTTTCACTCGCTTAAGACGCGATCCAGTTGGAATTTCGGTATAATAAGTCTATATCGCTCAGTAAAGTAGTAGTTTTTTAATTGTGAAAGATTTTTAGTATAGATTATTGGAAAAAATATGTCGAGCAAATAAACAAAATCTTCATTTGTGAGACTTTCATTATGTTGAATATTTTTATTTAAATAGATATTAATATTTTTAGTATTACCTATCTTCTATCAAGCCCGGATATACAACATTTCCAAACGGGGCAGAAACATGATTTTGCGCCCTTAACTCCTCCCCCGCGATACACATATTCTTTATTATAATTTAAGGATATGCCTATGATTTTTTTTATCTGTTATTTTGGCGCCTTCCTAACACCCCCTATACAATACCGTATAGTTCTTCTTTATACCTATACAATAAAAATGAATCGCAGAAACGTATGTACGGTACGCGCATAACTTCCGAATTCCAGTTCCGACTGTACTAAATTAGATGATTTTATTTTTATATGTTCCATAAATAAACATGCAAATGAATGTGTGTGTGCATGCGTGCGTGCGTGCGTGTGTGTGAGTATGTGTGTGCGTGTGTGTGTGTGTATGTGTGTGGAGCGGGGGTTTGATTACTACTTATAATTAGCGAGTGTTCCAGGAATACATATTCTAATTATATTTTTACAAAAAACATCATTTTTGAAGTCATACATTCTTGCTTTTGTGTTTTTTATATGATTGTGTATGACTGAACTTTATGGGAACAACTAGTCGAACTGGTAACTCGTTCCATTTTTAAAACGAAATCAATGAATCTAAGTATTGTGTTTATTTTGCAGGATAATCACTGCCTACGCATCAAGATCCTGGGCGATTGTTACTACTGCGTATCCGGGCTGCCCGAGCCTCGGTCTGACCACGCCCGATGTACCGTCGAGATGGGGCTCGACATGATTGATGCTATCGCGTAAGTCTACGCAATATTATTTTGGATCTTTTGGATTTATATTTTCAGATAAAATAGACCTTGAACTTTACGTGGTTGAGACGATGATTTATCGATGTATTCGCTGGTGAAACGTGTCATCCATGTTGATTGGTAACCGAGTACCTATGTTGTTATTCACTGTTGGTGCGCTCTTGGTCTTTACGCGTAAACTAGCCATCCTATTCTGTAAAAAACAGTCCAAGTGTAAGTCGGATTATTACATATTGATGGCGATTGTAGATATGATAATTTTGTATGATACTATTCAGTGTTGCTCCCATAGTTAAAGTTGTTTAATATATTAAGCTCATCTAACTTTGACTCACCTACGAAGTCCTGTAATATATATATATAATATGAAACGCCTTATATAATATCGTTACTGCATTGTCTCCGGTTTTCAGCATATGTGTGTACCATACTCTATCTGGGTTCAGAGGATGTGATGTTATTTAAGAGAGTTTTACCAAGCGTATGATTAGGGATCTCCATTTTTAACTTTAATGCATATACATTAATAATTTGGTAAAATTAGACAGGTATAGATATAGTCAGTGGCGCATGAAGTTCTAGAAATCTCTGATTACCTTTTGACTTTATGTTAAAAGTTGACTTCATAATATCTTGTAGATTTTTTATATGCATATCTGCACGGTTCTAAATATGAGATTGATCGCGACATAAACTAATGTATTTAGTATTAAAATTTGTACATGCTACATATTTTATTCTTCCAACTATTAATGTCCGAAACATAGCTATTGTGGGATTGATAGTTTGACGTGGAAAGTACACTATTACTTACAAATGTTTTATCTTATTTTCAGTTGTATCGATAAAAGTTATTCTAAGAAACTGTTTTTCTTGCATTGCCTAAGCTTTCAGACAGTTCCTTTCTTATATAAGGCCTACCTCACACTTGCGTGAACGTTGATCGTAGCAAATCTCGGGAAGCCGTTTTTTATATTCATTCAGAAACTTCACGGATTCTTTATAAATGAATTTAAGCCAATTTCAAAGTTTCATAAATTATAAAGATAGCTAACTCCTTTTTGACAAATAATAAAAATCATACTCACTTAAATAAAAAGACGGTTTCACTTAATGTCAGGTATAGGGCATATAGCTTATGTTAATACTTGAGCCACACACATAAACTGAAGGGAATATACATAAAGGAACCGAACACATCATCACATATATGTTGTACAAACACGGCTGCACGTCAGTTTACCACAATATGTGAAAGGGAATTGTTCAATTTTGGCTTTTGGTGAACAAGCTAATTAGTAAAAACTATGTAAACAGTAAAATATTATTAAAACTGAAAAAAATATTTTTAATACTCTCGTCATGGGAAACTTAACATTAAAAATATCATTTTTAAAAGTATTTTTTGGATTCGGATATGTTTTGTTGACATGTTTCACTGTGTTTCCATATCAATAAATGTTATTGAAGTACTATTACTAATAGTATCGATTAATCGATAAGTTTTAACTCTAATAAAAATGAAAGTAATTAAAGTATATATATATATTAATACATACATAGTGGGTAATCTTTTGCAATATTATGTATTAAAAACGTTACAAATAATCCTTTTCGGTTAGATATATAAGTTGATTTACAAATCAATCGAATACTTTTAATCGATAAGAGATTTTTATATGGCAGCACCATTTCACTTTTGTCAACAAAGACGTTTGAGTAATAAATCTTATTCGGCTAGGTTATGTTTTGTTTTTGTTGTTATTTTCTATCAAGAAGAAGAAGACCAATTTATTTCGGTTTGCATTGATAATGGACTCCGATACCTCTCGAAATTATGACCCGGCTATACCTCTGGACACCGAACCAAACACAAGTAGTGGACATCGTCGGCAGCTTTGTATAAATTGTGGAAGATCTATATTACATACTAGATCACATCTACTGCAAACAATATATGACAGAGAAACACACATTAGAAATGTAATTATTGATTGGAAATCCCCACGACTGGTAGGATTATAGTTATTTTTATTTATTATGATTACTATAATAAAGCTTCCTTTATGAAAAGTAAAACATTAATATATCGCTGCCATATCGTTTAAGTAACATTTTGTTGACAAATAATTTTATAATATATAATTCTCTTTTAGGTGCATGGATCTGATAGCATCTGTCATTTGTTGGCAGTGAGCGGATAGAGTAACAGTTCCTTCTAATATTCCAGTCTACCTACACAGACCATTACCTTACCGGATTCTAAAAGAGCACCTGATTCACAAGCATATTGTTTTGTTCCGGGTTGTGACTCACCACAGCGACTGACAGTTTCCACATGGCTTCGAATAAAATTGTTTGTTGATTTTAACTTTTATGTACCAAAAACCAGTAGGCTGTGTAGTTCTCATTTATATTATAATAATTGGACTGAATGGTTGTCTATCATGCAACTAATTCATACATTTACTACAGAACATATACAAGATTTTGTATTATTTGTTAAAGAAAGGAATCTTACAATGGTTTTTAACAACATTGAAGGAATGCCTGAAGACATTGTGCACTTTTGGATAGGTCTGTCTTAACTTCAGTTAAAATCAAATTCCTTCCTGGGTTATCTGAGATGCATATTGGGGAGTTAGGGCTTGTTGTTTATTTAATTAAACTAAGAACTGGGGATAATGATGAGAGAATATCAACTTTATTAAATATACCTCATTCAATGTTAAAAAAACTATTAGGAGCACTTTGTGAATTACTAAATGTTGAATTTGTTTCTCATAATTCATTAATCACCGGAATGCCAGCCTCCAGCTGAAGAGAAACTGTATGAGCAGTGTAATTTATTTATTAAGTGATTTTGTAAAGTCTTTTCTTATAAATAAGTGTATTTACTGTCTTTTGCAATTGTATTTTCAAATTAAAGGTAAATATGTGTAAATCTACAATTTCTTTATTTAACCATCTCTGTTTGTTATTTCTAACATAAATAAATTAATATGATGATAAGGTAATTAAAGTATTTTACAAAAAAGAACTTTATCGTTACATCGTTTATGGAATACTACACATGCTTATATATATACAATGTTAAACTTTCCCATGAAAATATTACAATAGTAAACTTCTTTAAGACATGAAATATTAAAAAATAATGTTTTTTATAACTATAGATAATGTCCACTCAAAGCCAAAGTGCCCATACAAACTGAACAATTCCCTTTTTGCAACGGATTTTGACCTTACCTTCAATATTTCAAGGTTTAAAATCGAGTGGGGAAAATTGACAGTTTTGTATAGTCTGCAGTTGACATTAAGTCGTGTCAAGTCAGTGTCAAAATGGACTTTTGGTAAGAGTGCCCAGTATGTACAAAAATCTATCATCACATCACCAGCCCTTTTACGCCCCCACTGCAGGGGCTTAGGCCTTTCTTATGGATGGTTTAGGAGGATGGGCAATGACCCTCCACGCTGGCCCAATTGCGGATTGGAGGGTATTAACGACTGCAAATGCAGCCGGGACCAACGGCTTAACGTGCCTTCCGAAGCACGGAGTAGCTCGAGATAATAATCCCGTGACCGACCCTTGCGAAAGTTGCTTAGCGACCACGATCGCGGGCCGCGACACTTATCCAATACGCCATCGAGGTACTTTTTATCATCGTGACTTATTTTTTTGTCTCAGTGCTTTAAGGTTGTGACCGACCCTTGCGAAAGTTGCTTAGCGACCACGATCGCGGGCCGCGGCGCTTATCCACTACGCCACCGAGCTACTATCTATAATGAATGTTAATTATTTGAAAATATTCGCTTTTACGCTTATTTATTGCTGAAAATGTATAAGAGTTTTCTTAGTCTCTGACTTGGAGATTGAGGCTCAACGCGAATCGCGATATTTGCGTGGTCTTCACACGCTACTTGGAAAAAGTGACAGGAACGGCAGTGTAGACAGGCCGATATCGATTGTGTGTGTCTGTTATATTCGTACCATGGCGACCTTAATATCAATTTTTACTCAACAGGACAAGACATAGCTGACTTGTTCATATAATGGAAAGGATTTTTCCTCATGGGAAAATATAAAAATGAGATTGTCACAGTACTGTTTTATTTCTTGGCAAATTTGTGAAGGCTTAGGTATTTGACAATTATTTTGAAAACATTAGAAATATTATTAGATAATAATAGCAATCTATTGCACAATGTAATTGCGTTTTTAATTGACATATTAGGTATACAAGATTATAATATACAGCAAAAACTTTTATGTAGTACTTAATTTTATTTCTTTGATTTAATCTATGAATATGGAAAAAAACAAAGCCAAATTAAGCTAGAAAACTTTTAGCCTATTTTAGAAAACGGTACAACCGAATTATCACCAATGTTAGTTTATATTATTTGAAACAATTTTTGAAATTAAAGCATTGTGACAAAAAAATAAGTCACGATGATAAAAATGTACCTCGATTTGCCGCGGCCGGCCTTGCTAAGCAACTTTCGTTAGGGTCGGTCACGGGATGGGTGACTCGCGTGTAACTCCATTCTTCGGAAGGCATGTTAATCCGTTGATCTCGGCTGCATTTACATTTGCAGTCGTTAATACCCTTCAATCCGCAATGAGCCAGCGTTGAGGGTGATGACCCATCCTCCTTAACCATCCATAGGGAAGGCCCGAGCCTCTGCAGCGGGGACGTAAAAATGGCTGATGATGATGATAAAAATAAGTATGCGGGTAGACTAATTGTAACTTTATATTTGAGTTTCCTATATATGGTATAGTCTGGAGTCTTCGGTGTTTAGGAGGTAATATTTATGCTCAGTCGAACATCTTTTGTATGTTACACAGAGCTATTTCACTGCTCAGTGGTCTTAATCGAATTCCACATAAGCCCGTTTCGTATTTGTACCAAGTGTCGGGAAATGATAAATCTTTCATAAATATTCATTGATGAGCTCGTGTTCCAATGATTTCTAATTATATG